AAATTGCTTCTCCTACCCAAGCTTCAGTATTATAGTCAGCTGTCTCAACTTTCATTGTATTCAGGATCCATTCACCCATTGGTGCTGATCTAACCTTTTAAGGTCCAAATGTCTTTTTGCATTCTAAGTTGGCATTTTCCAAAGACAGAGATTCAATAAATACTCGTCTAGCTTCTGGGTCTGTCACTCCTCCTTGTAAAGCCTTAGTTAATCTTGTAAAAAAAAAAAAGTCACTAATATTCTCTCTGGCCCTGTTTTACCCTGGTATATGATTCAGTTTTATTACCTGGTTTCTGAATCCTGTCCCAAGCATTAAAGCTGCTGTGCAGTTATAGGGACAAGGTGTGTCCTGAGGATTGGAGTAATAGCCCTCACCAAGAATTTGATCTTGGGAAGTCTCATCCTTTTGCTTTTCCCTGTTTTTCTAAAATTTCTGCCTCTTCTCACCAGTAGCATTTCCATAACAGCTGGGGTTCATCTCCTAGGACCGCTGAGATTAACTAAAGCCCCATGTGTAGGGTAGTCTTATTGCTTGACGCCCACATTTTCACCACTTCCCTAACAAATGGTGAATGCAGGCCATAAGATACTATTGCCTGCTTGATTTCTTTTAGATCGCTCATACCTATAGGTTGTTATGTATATTCTTTGAATACCTTAGGGTATTTTGTGGCAGATGGCTTCTCAGAGGATATTACCAGATAGGCAGCTAAAACTCTGGGTAAATCATCCTGGACTCTGGCACGTATTGATGAGGTTAAACCCTGTCCTTGTATCTTTTCTCCCTGCTCATCAGTTTCAATAATTTTCTCAATTTTCAAATATTTTTACCACTGCCTTTTGTAAAGTCAGAATCTCCTGTCCAGTGTTCCCTTCTAATGTCCTCATTGAGGATTCCAAGGTATGAAATTTGCTCACTAAAGATAACTTCTCATCCTTGGACATAATTTTGATGGCATGCATATTGCTTTCCTGGAGAGATACCTTATATGTTAACCTTCCGTAATTTTTCAACAGATTGCTAAATTCAATGGTATGAATTCTTTCAGATAATGTCTCACCACCATTCGACATTGATTGGATTTTTGTCTGTCAAATTAATGTTAACTTTTTCAATAGTATTAATTTTTCAACTGTTCATTATTAGTCTATAAAGACTGTATCATTTCTAAAAGTGCCTCATTTTTGGCTCTGTTAACAAACCATTTTCTTAATGATAAAATATAAAAAACAAAACTAATTCCCAAAATCAAATAAATGGATATATAAGAAAAATCACATATGCCTTGCAGAATGCCATACATAGTATAAGCAAAAAGGTTATTAAATTCCTGAATGGAATATTTTATCCCATAGTATAACTTTCAAATTTATTAATTTACTTACTGCCATTAGATTTCAGTAAATTGTTGTAGGTGTAATAATCTTTATTGACCAGCAGATGGCACAATACTCTTCACACTGCGTTGATTCCACATGTTGGTGCCTGGTTAAATGCTGACAAATATGCTTTGCTTGACAAATTTATAGCAATTAAATCAATTCCATAAATGGAGCAAGGAGCCCAGAGCTCAAAAGAAGGGAACACAAACCAGAAGCTGTGCAAGTCACTGCGCAGCAGGAAAAGTGGCAAGTGTGGGGGAGGGAGGTGGGGAAGGAGGAAGGCATGAGTGAACCTGAAAAATTGCCAAGTTGCCACAAGGTAGCTCCACTGTGGCTGTGGTGGAGTTTGGCAAAAAGCCACTTAGTAGGTGAAATCAAGCCAGGCAGGTGGGGGTGGGAGACCTTCTGGGTCATGGACCTTTTGGATCTTGTTTTGGCCTATCCCCACAAGTGTGGAGTTGGGATTCACATGGGCGCCAGATGAAGATGGAAGTCACAAAATAATCTCACACTAGCTCAGAATTGGATATAATAAAGGCCTATTTATTTAGGGGTAGACTCACCGATCACAGTCCTCTGCACGAAGGGGAACAGGAACCAAATTCAGAAGCCGTGAGTGAGAAAGAGCGCACACTTTATGTCGGAATTCATAGTATAAATGGTGTGGTGCCTTAAAGTCTGCTGTCTGAAGGGATTCCTACAGCACTAACAGAAATTCCGTATTTATTGGTGAGGGTTCCCACTTGATACATTTGGACAAAACTCACTTCTGCAGGTAATAGTGAACACAAAGCTGTACTAGTGGAGTTCAACCAGCAGTAGCGAGGATGAAGTTCTCATAAATAGGTTTCCCCTCACAGGGCTGGAGAATTGGCTCAATGTTTCCAGACCACACGCTGTTCTTTCAGAGGACCCAGGTTCAGTTTGCAGCACCTAGCTTGTAGCCATTTTTCTTACTGAATGTTAGTCCAAGGAAATTTGGAGAGACCGGATATCTTTAACATGATAAAGAGTTATCCAAACTGTTCTCACTGAGATTGTGTCATTACAATACTTGATACCGTTGCTTTTGGGGCCAGAGCATGCCGTCAAACTCGTGTCTAGAGCCTGGATCTACCTCTTGCTAGCTCGTGGTTTCAGCAGTACACTTCTTGCACAGTGACGGTTCCTTGGTAAATATCTGATGAGTGTATGAGCCATTTCCTTGTCTGTAAAACAGGTGTGATTGTGTACTTGTTTACTGATTACACACAGGTTTTAAGAATTGGCACATAATAGGCTTCCATTGATGTTAGGTGTGTGAACCAGCTCCCAAATCATCACACGGAGACTTATTAGTTATGAATGCTTGGCCTAGCTTAGGCTTGTTTCTGGCTAGCTCTTTTGACTTAACCTATCTCTTTATCTTCCTTTTGCCTCGGAGGTTCTTACTTTTCTTCCTTCTGTATTTCTTACTTTAACTGCTTCTTGTGTCTGCTGACTGATGGCTGCCTGGCCTCTAACCCTGGATGTCTCCCTTGTTCTATCCTTTTCCTGCCTTGTTATTGGCCATTCAGCTCTTTATTAGATCAGTCAGGTGTGTTAGGCAGGCAAGGTGAAACAGCAACACCTCTTTTCATAATTAAACAAATGCAGCGGAAACAAATGTAACACACCTTTACATCATTAAATATGCAGCGGAAACCAAATGTAACACACCTTTACACAGTTCACGTAATATTCTGCAGTATAATCAAATTTAACACAGCTTTGTCTAATTAAAATAATATTCAAGCCTTTAATTCTAGCACATGGGAGGCAGAGGCAGGCGGATCTCTGTGAGTTCAAGGCCAGCCTAGTCTACAAGAACTAGTTCCAGGATAGGTTCCAAAGCTACAAAGAAACCCTGTCTCGAAAAACCAAAAGAAAAAAAAAGTGATGTCATCATTCTAAGGAGCATAGAAACCAACAGCATCATTCTAAGGAGCATAGAAACCAACAGCATCATTCTAAGGAGCATAGAAACCAACAGCATCATTCTAAGGAGCATAGAAACCAACAGCATCATTCTAAGGAGCATAGAAACCAACAGCACCCAAGCACAAGGGATGAGAAGGCAGATGTGACATATCAGAAAGGGAGGCCCTAACATTCAGAAAACTTCTAAAAGTGACGTCGAAGTTGACAAGAGTGTGTTGTGGGCCTAGAGCGATGGTTCAGTGGTCAGGAGCCCTGGTTGCTCTTTAGAGGACCCCAGTTTGATTCCCAGCACCCACCCACATGGCAGCTCGCGACCATCTGTAACTCCAATACCGAGGGAGTCGATGCCCTCTTCTGGCCTCCATGAGCACCAGGCTTGCACATGGTACAAAGATAACATGCAGATAAAACACCCATACACATAAAGATAAACAATTTTTAAGTACGTTGATTAACCTAAGGGCACTTTTCAGTTTTGGGTAGGTGTGTACCAGAGGATTCTGGGTCCCCAGGGTGCTTGGAGTAAGATACACAGGAGATCCTCAGTGGGCAACATGAGAACCAAGTTGAAGTGAAGCCAGCTCGCTTATCTTTTTGCTGTCTCACTGAAGCCTAGCCCGTTTCTGTCTGAGTCTACATTCCTCAGAGGAATGCTTGGTTTTACCACACTCCAGAGTGTAAGGAAAAGCTAGCTAATGGTTATGGATTTGGTTTTCTTTTTGGCAATTTAAACTTTTTCTGAAACTCTTCTGAAAGTGAGCCTACCCTGAGTATCCTTCCTTTTCCTAATATTGCTTCCATTTGATCTTTCATTCTGATTTAAAATTAGTTGAAAGTTTGTGCAATCAAGGCTTAAATCAATTCCACTCTCCCACATGTGTCCATGTGTGTGGGTGTAGGGTATCAGTGTGCATGCTTCATTCCTTCTAGGAAGGGGTTAAGAGGATTGTAGCTCCATATAATTCAACACTGATCCTGATGGCATACAAGAAATTTGAAGCTGCGTATTAACAGAGAGATGACGAGTCTTTATGTGAAGATGATTAACCCTCCTCCCTTTCCTGTGACCCTCCTCCCTTTCCTGTGACCCTCCTCCCTTTCCTGTGATCCTCCTCCCTTTCCTGTGACTCTCCTCCCTTTCCTGTGACCTTCCTCCCTTTCCTGTGACTTTCCCTCTTTCCTGTGACCTTCCCCCTTTCCTGTGACTCTCCTCCCTTTCCTGTGACCTTCCCCCTTTCCTGTGGCGTTCCTCCTTCCAGGAAATCTTTTTTAATTTTCCTACTTCTCATTTTTTTGCTGTTGTTAATAGAAATGGTATATTTTCTAGTGAAAACTTTAGAATTTTTTAGTATTAATTACATCCTATTATTGAAATGTTTTCCAGTGTCAGCTAGTGCACATGGCCAAGTGATCAGGGTTCTTGTACATGTAAACAGTTTTTAGACCGGGTCTCACTGTACCTCACTATGTACATCAGGCTGTCCTCGACTCCATAGAGAGTCCTGGGATTAGAAGTGTGCCCCACCACATCTGGCTAGAAAATTTCACTTCTTAAGTGTCTTTTTGGAGTTCTTTTTAATTTAATATCACCCCAGAATGAAGCTCACTAAGAAGGGATTGGCAAATTATTATAATGTTTCTGTTGTTTTTGTTTCTAGCTTATTCTACTAAACTCAACAAATTTCCTGTATTTAATATTAATGATGACTTGAATGATCTGTGTACCAGTGCAGTGAGCCCAAACACCACCAAAGCCACGAGGTACGCCCTAAATGTGTGGCGCTACTGGTGCATGACCAACGGGCTCAAAGACCACACGGACATCACCAAGGTAAGGGATGCGTGAGTGTGCAAATTCTTTTGGCTGACTTCACTGAGCTTCCAAGTGCCAGACACCCTGCTAAGTGCTGTGGGGAGCACTCATGGAGGAACATGAAATACACAGAAAATTGTCCACAGAACCAAGTAGAATTTAGAGAGTGTTTAATGAGTGTATATTTGTTAAAGTATAAAGAAAAATAAATTAAACCGTATTTCCAGAAAGAGGTAGGAGTTGTTACAATAGAAGAGTAGACCAGTGGAACAAGTGGTGTGAGAAAGAGCAAACTGTACAGGGCAGAGCCATTTGCTACAAAACCAGATAGTGACGATTCTTAAGTGACAACCTGGGAAATCACTGAAGTTGTTTGGTTTCCATACTGCAGGATCTGACTGTAAGAGCTGTAGGTATCGCTAGATCAGGATCTGACTGTAAGAGCTGTAGGTATCACTGGATCAGGATCTGACTGTAAGAGCTGTAGGTATCGCTGGATCAGAATCTGACTGTAAGAGCTGTAGGTATCGCTGGATCAGGATCTGACTGTAAGAGCTGTAGGTATCGCTGGATCAGGATCTGACTGTAAGAGCTGTAGGTATCGCTGGATCAGGATCTGACTGTAAGAGCTGTAGGTATCGCTGGATCAGGATCTGACTGTAAGAGCTGTAGGTATCGCTAGATCAGGATCTGACTGTAAGAGCTGTAGGTATCGCTGGATCAGGATCTGACTGTAAGAGCTGGAGGTATCGCTGGGTCAGGTATAAAAGAATCCACTACAGTTTATTTTTCAGAAGTAAGGAACATGAAAAGTGGTATTTTAGAGAAACTAATTGAAAGTTATGAACAAAACAGTTATTTAGTATTCTTGGTCCCCAGACTCCCCCTTCTCAAGTATTTGAGCTTTGTGTAGGGGAGATGGGTACAGCGATTCTAAGCCAACTGATTATATGCATTAGGCAGTTGGGATTGTGAGGTTTAAAATGGTGGAAATGATAAGCTGGAAGCATAGATTTAAAGGTCTCACAGATGGAGGCCATTAGTTGAAGCCCAAAGGCCAGGAAGATTTCAGAGTTTGGGTGATGTGTTCAAGGAATCAATAAAAGCTGAAATAAAAGCTGTTTCCTCTTTCTGGCAGCATGTGTATTAAGTAATGTAAGAGGCGTTTCTGTTTCACATGAAGATGGGGAGGGCCCTGGGAGTGAGGGCAGAAGAAAGAACAGTGGGAAAGCTCACCAGTGAGGGCAGAACTAGAAGTCCAGGAGGGAAGAGGCAGCAGGACATCCGAGGGCCTTTGGGTTCCTAAAACTAGGTCGGGGGCTAGTGAGATGGCGCATTTGGTAAGTGCTTGCCATGAAAGCAAGAGGAGCTGAATAAAGAGCCCCAGCATCCACACTGCAAAAACCTGGCATGGTGGGTGCCCAGAGTTCCGAGGCCAGTCCTTGGAGCTGGGATCAGTGAGAGACCCTGCCTCAAAAAGGAAGGTGGAGAAGTAATGAGGAAGATACCTGACGTCTACCTATGGCCTCCACATACATGCACAGGCTCATGCATGTGTGCACACACACACCAGAGACCGAGAGAGGATTGGTTGAGTGCATTGGTTCTTGGTAAATAGCAGACTCTGGCTGCTAACAGAGTCATGTGTTAATGGTCTTTCCAGGGAAGCATCCAGAATGTAGGCACTAAGGATTTTGGGCAAACGCAGATCAACTGAGTAGGTTTTTGTTTTAAAAAGCAGGCTGAAGGATGGCTTTCAGTTAAGAGTATCTGCTACTCTTGCTGGGAACCTGGGTTCGGTCCAGTCCCAGAGGCTCCAACACCCTCTTCTGGCTTCCACAGACACCACATGCATGTGGTACACAAACATATGCAGACAAAACACCTATATACAAAATAAATAAATAAATAAATAAATAAATAAATGTTATTTAAAAATCTAGGTCATAGTAAAATTCAGTGTCTGGCATTTAATGAAAAATTATCAAACATGGAAAAAACTAGAAAGTATATCCCTTAAAGAGTGATTCAAGCCTCTACTGGTGGCACTCATTCTAACCCTAATCCTAGCACCTCAGAAGCAAGGTTAGCTACATTCCAAGACTCTGTTTCAAAAGCAAGAAAAAGAAGAGGGGGCTGGAGAGATGGCTCAGTGGTGAGAGCAGGTACTGCACTTGCAAAGGACCTGAGTTCGATTCCCAGCACACATATTCAGTAACTCACTTGTGGTTTGTAATTCCAGTTCAAGGGCTTCAGTGCTCTCTTCTCGATCCTGTAGACACCTGTACTCACATACCTATATCCTCACACAGAGCAGAATTAAAAATAGAATAAATGTTTTAGAAAATCTTCTGTACAAATGTATCATAATCCTGTTGTTAACCAGGGATAAAGAGGAAACAAGAGCAGTTCTAACAAAAGGACAGATGGTTTACAGAGAACCAAAGGTAAGAGTGACAGAAGATTTTCTTTTGGAAACCAGGCAGATGAAAAGATATTGGGACAAATGACTTCTTTAAATTATTGGAAGAAAAGTAATTTCAGTATCCACAGTGACAATGTCTTTCAAAAAGTAAGACGAGATAATAAGTTGAGACATTCAGAGATGAGGGGATTCAGCAGCAGTAGATCCACACTTTGAGAAGCACTAAAGGAAGTTTAACCTAAAGGGAGATGATGGCATCTGGAAATTCGATCCATCACCAAGGGAAGGAAAGGACAGGGAAGGCAGCTACTGTGTAGATATATACATGCTTTAAATCTTTCTGTGGAACATAATTGACTTTTTAAACAAAAACAGTAACAAGATAAAATGGAATAAGTATCATTGATTGATCCAGAAAAGAGGAAAATGGGCAAAAAACAGTTCTGCATTAGCAAGTCCGCAAGCCACAAACAAAAGGTAACATTGTAACTAGCTCAAAGGAAACCTGTCTGCCTCTCTTCTCTCCTCCCCATCCTCCCTCTCCCTCCCTGATCTCCCCCTCTCCCTCCCCACTCTCCCCCCTCTACCTCCTTACCCTCATCTCTTTCTCTCCTCCCCATCTTCCTCTCTCCCTCCCTGATCTCTCCCTCTCCCTCCCCACTCTCCCCCCTCTACCTCCTTACCCTCATCTCTTTCTCTCCTCCCCATCCTCCTCTCACCCTCCCTGATCTCCCCCTCTCCCTCCCCACTCCCCCCCAACCTCCTCTCCTGTTGTAATAGGAGCGGAGCTGCGTCCCCAGCACCCCAGCCACCTGCTAGCTTATGCCTCGAAATAATTGCACAGACACTGTATTCTTTTAAACACTGCTTGGCCCATTTCTATCTAGCCTCTTCTAGGCTAATTCCCACATATTAATTTAGCCCATTTCTAATCATCTGCATAGCACCGCTAGGTGCGCTTACCAGGAAGATTCTAGCCTATGTCCATCCTGGGTCGGAGCTTCATCGTGTGTGCCTCAGAGAGCAGAGCTATCACGTCTACCCGGGAGAGGGGAGCATGTCATCCCTGCTCCAGGGAGCAGAGCTGTCAATTCTCTGAGCTCACTTCCTCTTCCTCCCATCATTCTGTTCTGTTTACTCCAACCACCCATGTTTTAACCTATGAGGGCCAAGCAGTTTCTTTATTGCTTAACCAATGAAATCAACAGATTGATATATGACACTCCCACATCACTCACCCTCATCTCTTTCTCTTCTCCCCATTCTCCTCTCTTTCCCTCCCCCTCTCTTCCTCCCTGCCCTCCTCTCTCTTTCTCTCTGAAAGAAAACTACTTTCTAAATGCAAAGGCATCAGCAGACACGGCACTAAAGGAAGACCCATCAGCCAATAAGGAAGATCACAGTGACAGCCTTGATTCAGGATATTGAAATTATAGTGTATCCTTGTCCATAACAGAATTAAATTGCGCTAGTTACAGATTGCTAACTAAAAAGGCACTGATTATAGGAAGTTATTAAATGACCCACAGATCAAGGTGAAATCACAAAGGAAATTATAAAATATTATGAACCAAATGAAAATTAAGTCACAGCTTAGAGTTTGTAGACTGTGACTTCTGCTAGAGAAGCAGGCAGCCTGCAGCCTGTCACCTCTCCTCTGTTCCTCTAGATCCAATGTCAGTTTTACCCCTGTTGCAGCCTCCCTTGCTCCTCTTTCCCCATCCCCAGTGGATCACACAGATCTTCCCGTCCTAAGCTCCCTTACCTCACTCATTGCTTTATCCCAGGCCCCAACTTCATCAGGCCTTCCTGGGGAACCCGCAGGCCACTCTGACCAGGGAAGCAAGTAGGCTGTGTGTGGATCTGCGCTCTCCCTCCATTTCTCTGAGGCCAGCCTCCCAGTCTCTTCAGCAGCTCTGTAGCACACCATCAGCTGTGGCCTCTCCTCACTTTCTACCCCCATTCCCTGGGAACTAAGCAGACCCTAGTGGAATATTCTGCTCTCCTCCCTCCTGTGAACCACCTCAGCCCCTCTCCAGCCCATCCCCATTCCTGTCAGCTCCCAATGCCTAGAAATAGATTTTACATGGAACCTCAATGACCACACCTATCAGGATCCCAGAAGAATTTCCTACCAGGCAATACACAGCTACCACACACTCCTAAAGAACCAGAGAAGGCAACAGAAACCCAGGAACAAAACACCCACCCAATATAGACAAGAAAAGTGTCTACACCAAGAATTACAATCTTCCCAGTTCCAGATGCCTAGACACCAGAATAAAAACACAGTAACAATCAGGACAATGTGTCTCCACAAGAATCCACAACCCTACTACAGAAGGTCCTGGTTATTGCCATATAGCAGAAACACAAGAAAAAAACCATAAAATATTCTTTATGAATATAACAGAGGTCTTTAAAGAAGAAATTAATACATCCCTTAAAGAAAGGAAGGAAGGAGGAAAAGAAGGAAAGAAAAAGAAAGAGAACACCAAGTAGATAAGACCAGAAAAGAAAGCTAAAGGTGCAGCACAAAGAAAGAATATAAAGGCTGCATGGGAAAAACATGAAGTAAAATATAAAGGCAGAC